AATCTTCTGCACTCATGATTTAACCAGATGAGTTTCATGTCCCTGCAAACTATAGACTGTCTAAAGGAAATATTAATGGGGCTTTCACTTCCGGATCCCAAAATAGCTCCTTCTGGGAATCAGAAGCCACCATGAATGGCACTAAATTGAATCACTGGAGGTTACTGCAAAGAAGATAATCAGTTTCACTCATGGTTATAGAAGAGCATCAACTCTGTGCTTGGTCAGCAGGCTGTGGTGGATAGTGTGTCGGATTAGCGTCAATCTCTCTACATGGAATTAAAATGTGAAAACATGAGCATTTTATGATTCAGTTTCTAGCTTTCTTATTATCTGCTGTGTGGGGACGATTGTTGAACAGGTAGTAATCCAGATGTGGCCAAAAATTGAGCTGAGGCTGCAGAGGGATCTGCTATTTTTAGCTCAGCTGCTCAGTATAAACATTACATACAAATAATTTTCAGATCTCACCACAGTATTTCTTCATTCTGTAGAGCTCAGGTTAAAAAAGGAGTAAGTGGATGGAAACAAGTCTAATTTAACAACTGATTCTTACAACTGATATTTAAGTGAAACAAATGTGGGGATTAAGTATAAAAAAAGCTGATACTTTAATAACAACAGTGTGGGCACAAATGGAATTAATCAAAATTAATCGATCTCTCAAACATAACATGCCAGGAAGCCAAATGATAAGGGCCTGTTAAACCTAATTTCCCTTTTAAGCGTCAGGTCAGATATTGATCGTGGTTCTATAGTGTTTTTTGGTCAATAAGTTTCCTGTGAAAAAAAATAACCCACAAGTAACTACAGTAAGTGGCTGCCATTATTAACTGTTGGTCAAAGTCTGTAAAAATTAAGTAATGGTGCTTTGTTGCGTAATATTCAGCAGAATATTCTGGCTCCTCCGTTACTAAAGGAAAGGAGATGTCGTCACTCAATTCCTTGCAGAGGCAACATTTATAGGGATGCACCTTGTTGTCGCAGATTCATGGAGAAACAGCAGTGCGCCTTTCTAATGCTTATGACATGATTCGATTTAAGAATATCGCGGCTATTTTTATAGTCTACGGGCTATTAGTACAACATGGATCGACTAACAATACAAGCCATGCCAACTAGCTAGCCACCATGCAGGCCCACTGAGAGTGTGCTGCACTCGTGTCTGCAAGAGTGAACACAGCCCTAAAATAAGCTTCACACACGAATGCTCCTACACTGACGGTACCACACAGCGGATCTAGTTTATCAGTCTGCAGATTTAGTTGTGCTTCAGCTTGTGTAATTATCAGCCACTTTCACTTGACTTCACAACATCCAAAGATATATTAAAAGATACATTAAACCTTGCTGAGAACAAAACATGGTGGAATTGTGGCTAAAGGGAAGTCGGTGGTTTGGCCGATAAAAGCATTTCTTCTGTCTGAGATGCTGGTGCAACCTCTATAGGCAGTGTGAATTATACTGTATGTGACCTTTAAAAGGTTCTCCACTGCCATTACACTATGACGGGTAGAAACATAATGCAGTTTATCTGATGGTTCCTCAAAACAGGTCAGTGGTGTTAACAGCCTTGATACTGTGGTACTTCCTGGATCAGCCCTTCAAAGAATGAATAGAATAAACTACAGTGACAGTTTCTGCTTTCCTGTGGTTGAAGAGAAAGTGGCAGACATAGCACCACCAACTAAAACAGTCAGAGGTGACAATAAATACATGCAACTAACTTCCTCAGTAGAAATTATTATTTGATTAAAAATGAAGGAATTGTTTTGGTAATGAACCAGGAAGCTTTTGTTACACTGGAACACATCTTATTCAAGAAAAGGCTATACGTTTAGTTAAGATTGGGAATAACTGCCTTTACAAACAAGATTAAAACTAGTTTAAAAAATGACTTATTTCATTGTAATCATCGGTTTCATTAAAGATTAATTACATTGACTTGAGATTGCACGGTTCATATTAGCAATATTGATTTTCCATTATGTGGTTTTATTAGTGGTTGCATAAATAATCCATAATTAACAGGATGCCACTAATAACAGCATGCAGAGCACATCAGATCGAGTTATCTCTTCCACATTAATTAGCAAGTATTATAGATGAAATCAAAACTAGCTGTTATCATTATGGGTGATTAATGCTTTCTGATGTGGAATTTTAATACCTCAGGATGTTCATTTATAAAGCTTCTTGACGTTCTTCTTATTACTCTGCATCTCTTCTCTTATTTAAATCTCATACCTGCAGTATACATGATCTTATTAAACCTTAGATATCAGTTATGTAAACAGGACACAAATCTTGCTTTTGGCGTGTTATGAACCGTTAAGTGATCATATTCTTTCTTAGCTTTATTATCTGCTGTTTATTGTGATTCTTGCTTTTGTTATTTTTCTGTTGATCATGGTTGTTGTTTTGCTTCTGTTTTACAAGTTGTAAATAGGCTACTAACTTATGAATGATCAACCCAGAATAATTTCACATATTCTGGGTTGATATAAGTGGAAAAAACTCTTCAGGGTTAGGGTTGGATGCAGACATCTCCAATGGACAGGCACACTGGACATCTGGACTTATAAACTGCTTTTATTGAATAATAATAGCTGTGAATATTTTGTATATGGATTGGGGTACAGAGATCCCCCCTTCAAGCAGGACACCCTTTAAATCATTCCATGTAAGGGGTCTCCCTGATGACCTGAAGTGCTTTGCTGGAGGATGAATTTAAAAAATACTAGGACCTTAAAAGTTGCTCTTGTAGTCTAAATGGCTTATAACTTATATACAACACATTAGTAAATAATAGTAGGCTATAATAATCCTTAATAAGTTAATTAATTGGGGCCTACAGCTGAACCTTAGCTAGTGCCGTATCATGAAATTGGAACCACTATAATTTCCATTAAGGTCACATAACAAACATAAGCTATAGCTAAGAATTATGCACATATTTCAGATTTGGTCAAATCTACTCCTCTTGTCTTTAACTGGCTTTATCTTTTAGAGAGTAAACGTGGTTAGACGATAACTGGTTCCCCTCTTATTATCCGGTGGCCATTTCACTGAGATCACTACTGTTTTTAAAATCCAGAAAACTGCTTAAAGAACAAAAAAAGTCTTGATCAGCACAACAACATGGTTCTATCATGGAGCAGGCGGGGCTAAGTGGTTTTGTTGGGATCAGGTGCATCTGCAGGGACAGACTGGGAGATTTCCCGTTGTCATGGAGATGAAGGTGATCCAGATGATGATGATGATAAAAGCTAAGTTAAGTGTTACTTCATTTTCAGCCTTTGATAGCAGCAGTGTGTCAGTCTGAGTGTGTGTGTGTGTGTGTTGTGGAGTGAGGCCCGGGCCTGCAGGCACTCTCCGCCCGGAACATTTTCCTTCCAACACCTTCCAGTTTCTTCCATCTACCAGACTGCCTCGTGTCACAGCAGGAAATCAACTACAACCATTAACGATGCACATCCAGATGCGTCTTTCCCTGGATTCTGATTATTACCAATTAATCTGTGACTCGCACTGTTATGTAACCATCCGCCCCCTCCACCGCCCCCCCATGTAACAAATGATCCCATTTAACAAGCGATGATCGCCGCCAGGAGCGGCTGAGGAGGGGGGGGGGGCTTCTTACCTGCTGCAGCAGATCGACGATCACTCCCCGGCTCATCCTCACCCGCGTTGCTCCCATGAAAAGAAAATCTCCACCGAGGTCGTAGCTTGTGATCATCGAGACGCTGAGTGAGATCTGACCGAGGAACGAGCTTCTAGTTCCCCCTGTTCTCCATCCTGCTCTCCTCAGAAGAGGCATCGGCCGTCAGCCTCCACCCCTCACAATGGTAGAGAGACATGGAGGAACAACGAGGAGAGAGAGAGTGAGAGAGAGCGAGAGAGCGAGAGCGAGAGCGAGAGAGAGCGAGAGAGAGAGAGAGAGAGAGAGAGAGAGAGAGAGAGAACGAGAATGTCTGATGAAAGCTGGATTAGCAATTGGGAGAAGTGGATTATTGCCCAGGGTCCATCAGGGGCCCTTAAAATTTCGGGGGGAGCGAAACATGTTTTTCATCAATATTCCAAAAGTTAAACATCCATCTTTATATTATTATGCATTGTGCACAGTGAGGATGTTTAACACATTGTTATACCTCAGAGTAATGAAATGCTTTGCTGTTTATCAAGGTTGTCACCCTCTGCAATTCAATTCAATTCAATTTTATTTATATAGCGCCAATTCATAATTTACATTATCTCAAGGCACTTTACATTTAAAGGTCAAGACCTTAAAACAATACTAACATAGAGAAACCCAACAGTTCCCACAATGAGCAAGCACAGGCGACTGTGGAGAGGAAAAACTCTCTCATTAACAGGGAGAAACCTCTGGCAGAACCAGGCTCAATAAGGACAAGTTTTTGACTGATGATATGATTTTTGGCCATATTATCCAGCCCTGAGAGGAACCCTGCAAAATCCAGCTGCAACTACCTAAAGCCTTTATGGGTCTTATTTAAATTAGCTCATTGTTTTTTATCTGCTTCCATTATTGTTACTGTCAACAATTATTTACACAGAGCAAAACTTGGATTAGTTTGTCAAGAGAACTGTTAAAACCATCAATTTGTTTCACTGAGAGTTACATCTGATGACTGCTTTCTTTGATAATTGGTTAGTTGATTAATTATTTGGTTTTAAAACATCAGATAATAGTGAGATAATAATGCAGATAAACACAGATATTTGGATAACAGTGAAAACTAAATTATGTTCACTACTATACCAGGACACAAGAAAATATTTACCTGTGAAAAGCTGGTCCCAGGAAATGTTTTCCTAAAAATGACCAATACATTTCCTGTTAACTTGTCATTAATTATGTTTAATTAAGTTTAAATTTGAGCTTGTAACTAATTATATTCTTATGCAAGTATATTATTTTCATTTTTATTTCTACTGCACACAAGAATATTACAAAAATATAATGCTGTGATGGATTAAAATACAGTAACTGCTAATAAAGAGCTGACCATGGTGCTGAAGCTGGGAGCTATCCTCAATATTCACGTCTTATCATGTCACCAGTCAGACAGTCATTCAGTCATTCAGTCAGTCAGTCATTCAGTCAATTACAAAGCAGGCAAGAGGCAACACACTCGCAGTGGCAATGCTAACATGCTGAATTTAAGCAGGTTCAAGTTTTACTGTGGTCACCCTCACCAAGTACAGTTTTTTATGCATTTCATCCTAATGCGACGTATTTAATAAATAGTTCAAGTGACTGTATGTTGCTGTGTTCAGAGTTCACACAGACCAATGAGCTGATTATCACCAAACAGCTGCAAACAGTGAAATCTAGATGTTTCAGATTTCATGATTCATGTGCTGGACCTGCATAACAAATCGACTCTTATCCATTCAGTTATTATGTCTACCTGTTCTTGTCAATGCTTTTTTTCAAGCAGTATTTTCATAAAGAGATGGGGACACATTCACCTTTTAACAGTAATTTTTAATTTTAGATAAATAAAAATCACACTTTGCTTTTTCACTACAAACTAACTGAACACATAGAGAACAATAGATCTATAGCTTCCTAGAAGCTAACAGAAAATATATGTTAGAACAATATAAAAAACATTCAAACCTAGTGCTCCAAACTGCATGTTCTTTCTTAGTGAAGAATAAATGAACTGATGTCGATGCTGTTCCACTCTACAGTTAATAACTACAGAGCGGTTTGAGGTAAACACAAAAACATCTCGGTGACAAACACAAGGTGCTCAGACTTCATCATCAAGTACGGTAGGAAATACCCATTTAACTTAACTTGTGTATGTAATGTTGCAAGCGGAAGTTGACATTAAATAACTACTTAAGTTGTTTGATTTAAGATTCTCGCTTGTATATTTCAGCTACAACTGCTTATTTTCATTAGTGTGCAACAAATTCAGCTTCCTTAAATTTGTCTTCCTTCAATCTCCAACTCTCTACAACTGAGTGATTCTACATAACCACGTCAAATGTGATGACTGTTCTGAGAAAAACAGACACCACCCAACCTCTTTTAAATCGTAAAAAAAAACACTCCTCAGGAGGTTGCATAAATAAAATATACTGTTTTTCCAAAAGGAACAGGTCCACAGTTACTCATCTGTATACTGAAACAAACATTAGTCCTAAAAATACTATACTTGACTTTATAATATTTACTGGAAATGTTCGATGCGACCACATATCAATCCACATCAGGGCAAAGCAACTGATAATTCAATTATGAATAAATGAAAGTGGGAGATGATAACGATACTAATTTTAACAATGGCAACAAGATAAACACATTTATGATTGGCTTTTAAAATAGGTCAATTATGTTACCTCCTGATGCGACAATCATCTCAGGATTTAGATTGTTTTTGCACATTCAGACTGTTACCTTGTTCACATTTGCTGCAAAGCAAGATGCCAGCGACAGCTTCGATTCTTCATCAGTGTCTACACTTATTTAGCCACAGCACTGCTCGACATTCAGTGTGGAAAACTATGGCACTTACAGCCAAACTTTTATATGATTTTTCTATTGTCAGACATGTGTTAGCACTAAGCCATTCTATGACTGGTTGGAAACATTTGAACTGTTTCTCGTCCCTGCAGTATGCACCAACACGATGGGCTTGATCCCATTTGGCCTTCGTAAAGCAGACATCTGGCACCTTGATACAGGTGCACGATATGTCATAAAACATGGCTTTAGGTGGTTTTAGGCTTATCCATACAGCAGCGTCTCTCTCACTTATGACATCTCTGGAGTAGACAGTTGTATTGATTTCAATAAAAGTAAATCTGGTACGTGAGATGCACAAAAAACTGTCAACATCTACATGTTTCGTGTTTTTTGACAAATTCACTTCAGTTTGAATCAACACAACTGTCTACAGAAGCTGAATAGTGATCCTCCTTTCATTCACACATACAGTAGCTGTGACTTGGGGGCGTATTTTTTGCCATTGGGTCGTCAGCTTGCATGTAACTACTGGGACTGTGCTAGGCTCCCTGCAATGCAAAAACATGTGCCTGAACTCGTCTAGTGCAGACTCGGGTGGAGGAAATCAAAATGCATACGTCAGCAACATCGGGATATTCAGTTTAAAGTAATAGTACTGTTTAGCATTGGCCTGGATCTCAGTGGAAGTGTTGGTATTTACATCCACTTAAATCAGTTTGGTTTTGTTGAAACTGTTTTAGTGAAGTTTTGATTCAATTATATGAGAATTTTAGAGGCTGAAGGTTTGTGTTGCTCCATAAGTTTCAGCTACATGTTCCAACTTAACTGAACCATGTGTATTTCTTTTTTGCTTCATTGTGATTTAAACTTTGATGAGACAGAAATAAAAAATAAATTGGGGGGAAACTGAATATTTAAAAATTAGAATGTGATTTAAAGGGTCACATTTTAAAGACATCAGCAAAAAATATTGGCGCTTTGATACAAAAACCAATATCGGCCGAGTTATAGAAAGAAATGTAACATCCATTTTGGTTCAATCGGCCACGAGTGCCTCCCTCCTTCACCACCACGTGATCTTGAACTCATAGATGGGCCTCTTGCAGTAGTAGTGATTGATAAGGTGCTTGTCGCAGACACCGATGCACTGCTGCTCGGCAGTGATGCCCCGCTCGGCCAGGTCACTGACGATGCAATGCAGCAGGTCGTAAACGTCCGCCACTGCCTCCCATGGTCCGAAGGAGACATCCACCTCGCAGTGATGCTCAAAGAGCTTGGCCTCGCTGTCCGAGCGCTCAAAGCGCAGAGAGTTAAAAAGAGGACGCTCGTACGGCGTGATGGGCATCTCCTCCTTGTAGACACAGATCTTCAACTTGGCAAAACGTGCCTTTTTTTGCATGGCCCTCAGTTTGGCGATCTCTACAATGCGCTCCAGATTGTCTGAAATGAAAAGAATGACATTTATTAATGCAATTTTAGTTGCAGTTTTTCTCTTTTTATCCTGAATCGTCATGTATCAAAACAAAACAAAATCCACTGGATCGATTGCATGTGCTGTTAAATCCACGTCCCTGGGAAACATACAAAGTGAACACTGTACTCAGCAGTAATCCCTTTGCAACGAGTAAGCCTATAATTTATATGAGAAATGTGCTGCAGTGTGGATTTTGAAATAATGCAGAGATTTTTTAAACACACAGGAGAGTTGAAGCGGGCGTCTGAGAGATAAGGAAAATATGCTGTGTGAGGGGAGAAGGATGCTGGTGCTCTAAAAACGACAGGAAGTCAGTTATTGTAAGGTTGACCAGCTGACTTGACCCTGGAATGAAGTTAAAGCAACAAAATGCGACTGCTGCAATTCTTTTATTTCAAGTTTTTTTTAAGAGCATTTTCTCTTTAGAGAATTAAGTGTGAAATGGAGAAAGAGTGGGGAAGACATGCAGTAAAGGGTTAGAACCTGTGCAAAGGGTGCCTGCTAAAACAGGGGAGCTATACCTTATTCACATCAAAATTGTTCTTTCTCTGAACCATCAAATAGTAACACGCACACATGAAACACATACTTTAAATTGCGTTTTAAAGATATTAATACCACAGATGTCCATCATAAATGCACATCAATATATGCTCTTAGACAAAGACTCTACTTATAACAGCAGAACGAGCATCATCAGAAGTCAGTTTTCTATTGATCTATTGATGGAGCTGATATGAGCTAATTCTGTGTAGTTTCAATGGTGCCAGTTTGCCAATATGTGAACAAATATCAGCTAAAACAATTGGACTCAAGTTGTAAGCCACGATGTAGGTCACTTAATTTGTAGTTAATAGTGTTTGACTTTGAAAAACCCTAACCCTTAAAATACACAGATGAAGCTTTGATGCTCATTTTGTAATATTTCCCTGGACAACAGACTGAAACAATGACTCTTGTCTCAGTTACCTCTGTAATAGGGCATCAGATCGAGGAACGCTTGTCGAACCTTCTCTCCCGTGAGCGGCTGAATGTCCTCCAGGCTGTCCAGCAGCGGGCCGATGGAGTAGTACTGAGCTTCCCTGTGCACCGGTCGCACTCGGTTCCTGTGGGGAAGCTCGCCTTCTCGCAGGAAGTTCAGGATGTCCCTTTGGGTGGAAAACGGTAGGAGAAGAACATGTCCACACATGACTATAATCCCACCTGATGAATCCTTCTTTAAATAACACAGATGATGACAGTGCAGTGATTAGTTGAACTACACTGATCAATAAAAATAGTCAGGAAACAGATTTTTAACAAAACTTACTTTTCAATCATTTCTAGTAATCACATAAACACAGAGGTGCCCTGATGGGGAGAGGAACCAGGTTAACAACACACAAAAACAAAAAATAAATTTAAAGCATCACACTGTCTTGGTTTCTCAGATATTTCATGTGCTGGATATTCGAGCCCCTTTACAGTTTCTAAATTTAGAAATGTATTTAATTCATCTATTTTCATGCCTATTATTTACCTGTACATACAAGCTACATGTCTAGTTCTAACTATCTTTATGTAGCTGTAACTCTATATTAGTCACTGCCTTTACTTCTGTGAGTAAGTTTATTTAGAGCTTCTGAGGATGGTTCTCATTTAACTTGTATGCATCAACATTCTTGGCCGATAAAGTAGATTTCGCTTCTGCTTCTGAGAAGCAGAACCTGCAGGGCTTGTGAACACTGAGGAAAAAATGAATGCAGAAAAATACAGAGAGGTCCTGGAGGAAAAGCTGCTGCAGTGTACACAACAGCAGCACGAAAGAAGATTCATTTTCCAGCAAGACAATAACCCCCCAGAGCACCAGGACTAATATCCCAAATTAAAGGCTCGTTCAGAATATTTGTACACCTGCAGTGGGCTGGCAGCCTCTGAGGGGTTTTAATATTTAGCTTTTTGTAGTTAACTGTGATTCTGTGAACTCCTTGTGTCTTAAATTGTACATCTTCTTATCTCATTCATATTTAAAAGTAATTTGCTTTTCCTTTTTAGCCTTGAAAGCGACGTGGCTCCAGGGATGATGAAGATGTCGGTCCGGTTTATATCTTATAAAAATCAGCACACACATTGTGGTCCCCTGAGGACGAATCCTTCCGCCTGCTTGTAAGGATGAAGTCACTATGGTGATTTCTCAACTTCTCATCCTCTGCCCTTTGGGAGGTGCTACAAATCCTCATCCACCAAAACAACCTGGTTCAAGAAAAGCTTTTATCTTAATCCTGCCTCTTAATTCCTTACATCTGGTATTGTGATACATTAAGGACTAGATTGTTGAGGAATATTGTGATTCATTTCTTTTTTCTGTGTATTTCACATATGGATCTTTACAATTTGTATTTAAGTCACAGCTTTATATTATTTTGTATGTTACTGTCCCTGTTTATGTAAATCAGTTTTTTCACAGATTGTATGTTTGTTATTTTGCACTAAATAAGAAAAAAACATACTCTGTAAAATATTATTAGTTTTGTCTGGACACTGATGGATCTCTATTGAAGAGGATTAGGGCCACATCTTTTTGGGGGGGGGGTTAAAGAAAAAAAAATTTATGAATACTTTTGCTGCTCACCCAAAATACGTTCCATCCCGATCAATGAAGTAGCGTCCCTCAGCATCACGTGGGATGTAGTGACGCCCGCTGAACATGGCAGCCAACATCGTGTCCTCGTATCGCCGTAGCGTGGACAGACGGGTGGTGAAGTACATGCCCCCAACGTTCAGAGAGATGACCTCTGGAAACTTGAGATGAGAATGGAACTAATTTCAGTGAACAAGACTAAAAGTCCACAGACATCAGACATAAACAACTTACTGAACAAAATTTAGAAAAATGAACAAAACGTGCCATCCTATTTAGTGCTGTTTCAGTCCTCAGACCATTATCAGGTAAAATGTACATAACTAAACAGCATCAGTGTAGTGTAGTACTACCGACTACTCTTATGTAACTACATTATAGTGGTTAAATGATATAACTCCCCCTCCCGCTGTACTTTAGCACTATGAACACATTTTCTTACATGAGTAAAGCAGCTAATTACCTCAGGTTATGTTTTCATCAGTGTTTGTTAATTAGCAGGATTATGCAAAAACTGCTGGAGCAATTCCCATGAAATGTTGTGGAGGGGTGGGGCATGACACAAACAAGAACCCATTACATTTTGGAGCGAATCTTGATAAACATGTGGATGCAGGAATACTTTTTCATGTTCTGTTACATTGTGAGACAGAGCATTAGCCTCCGCAGAGCATATGTGCAATCTTTAAGCATTGTGTTGTTGTATGTCACCAAAAGAAACCGAGTAAAAATGCTGCTCTGTTCGTACAGCTGTGTGTTCCTATGTGAGGAAGAACATGCCACTCCAAGCGTCTGGTCAGCTGTTACTTTGCAGTCACACACCAGAGTACCATAAGAGGATTATTCTGCTTTAGCCATGTTTAGGACACATCATATGTTGGCTCATTATCACGAGTCAGGTGACACAACTGTCAGCCAATCCTGACCTGAATCAGGGCCCAGCTGAATCACACCAACCACAAAACAGGTGACATATTTCAGAATCATCTGTGGACAATCTTTGAAGCACTCCTTGTACATATTGTTACCATACACCAGACTATGAAACTATGTGTGCAGCATGTTGCCATCAACTAGAGGAGTGACCAGTATCCACATGCAGCAAATATTTTGAATAGAATAATCATTATTTCATCATTTAGGCTAGATATATGAGTTTCTTTCTTAAGCACTTTGTTTCATACAAATAAAGTTTCTTGTAGTTTACAATAAGGAGTGAAATAAAAGAATGGGAAGGTTATAGTTCTCATCAGGGGAAGATTCAGGTGATAGTGATCATATGACAAGCTGTCATAACACTATGTATTGGACACTGTGGTTGTGAGGACTGGTGTAACATGGAGACTGTGGAACTGCGTGTGTAGTACTTTTCTGGTGTCATGGATGACACATGTTATTATTCACTGGTAAATAGTAGGTTTACGTGGATACTTCCTTACTGTGTCGCTTTTCTATCTGCAGCTGGACATGATGTGAGTGTTGTTTTCAGACTGTTAGCTCGTGTGTGCTGTGTTCGCTTGTTCTTTGACGTGGTGCTGGTCCCCGTCCATCGGGTCCGTGGAGCGGCCTACCTCCTGCTCCTGTGCGCTCAGCGCGGGGCGCAGCGGCTTGCTCAGGCTGCGGCTCGGCGAAGGGGAGGCCGGCGGCTTCCGGAGCTCGTCCTCCGCAGAGTCCGAGCCGGACATGGCATCGCTGGGTTTGTCGGTGTCCCCCGCGGCCGAGAACACCACCATCACTCTGGGTAGAGGCAGCGTGCGTCTCTCCTGAATGAAGCGTCTCACCCGAGTCGTGGCGGAGGGCAGCGGGCTGAAGGACGGAGCCTGCTGCCGCTCCCTGCCGCCGCTGCCGCCGCCACCGAGACCGTCAGAGCCGCTGGAGCCGCCGGAGCCATTCTGATGCATGCGCGCGTCCAGGCACGAGACCGGGGCTGACAGCACGAGCCACAGCGCGCGACACTTACAAACAAAAACAACAACAAAAAGAAGATGTCGAGGAGAGGGAGCAGCGCGAGCCGCTGCAGGGACACACCCAGACTTTAACCCGGCACCGCAAACATGGAGGCAGCGCCTTCACCAACACACCGGGACAGTGGAGACACATCCCAGGCTGCGAGCGTGGTGACACGGACAATCCACAGCCGAGAGCACCGAGCCCGTCATGTCTGCTGTCAGACGTGGTGTGACGTGTCAGCGCCGTCATGACGTCAGGCAGCTCGGAGGAGAGGGTTCAGTGGAGAACCTGTGGTCTGGGAATCAAGATGGACGACGTGACAGCCCCCCCCCCCCAAAAGTGAAGCCAAAGAGCCTCCACCGCCCCCTGGTGGCTAAATGAAGGACCGGTCCCATGTTGTGTTCCAGACAACTCGAAAAAATGAAATGGAACGCCACTCAAATATCAAACTCGGGGGAATTCATCTTCCAGCAGTTGTCTGATGTCACACAACAATGGCAGCGCTCATGGAGACGTAGACACTGTAGCACTGAGGCCCGTCTACCCTCAGTTGGACTCTTGTTTCCTGTATTGGAATGTGTTTCCAAGTATAAAAACACCATAAATAAACTGTATAATGGCGTCTATTGCCTCATGCATTGTTTTCCCACTGCACTGGTCCCAGTTGAATTGTCTCATCACGAGCCATCACTGTGCATTGGAGCGCTTGGAAGTCGGATCACGGAAATTTCAAGTCAGAATATCCGACAACCTGCAACAGACCCCGCCCACCTCTTCTATGACCCTGTTAAGACTCAGTATTTCTGTTCTTTTACACCTGGGAGGTCAGCCGTTGGGATGACGTCACACCCAAACACCCCGAGTTGATAGCGTTCCACTTGCACAGGAACAATGTTTACTTTTGCCAACCAGCCATTGTTAGAAAAACAGTTCATACTAACGTGGCGTTTCACGTATACTCATACTCTAGTAAAGCATCCACAGACCTTAATTGGATAGCACTACATGTACAACACATTTAATGACAGAAGTGCTATAAACAGTAAAACTACTCTTGATATAAGGAGGGGCCATCTCGGATTTCGAACTCTGGGGTATGAGGTTCCTCCAGCTTGCCATGTCGAAATTCGGACTTGTGGGGGTTTCCCAGTTGCAGCTTCTGACATGGGGGTCAGAAATTACGAGCTCCAAAGTTTAATAGAATGCGGCATAACATTTTCTGGTAACTTTGATAATATTTCAGAGGTTTCTTCCACCTAATGAGGGAGTATTTCATTCCACAGTTCCAAGTGTTTGCTTATTATGGGAACTTTTTAGGATTCTTAATAATTTTGTAAGGTCCAAACCTTACTATGTAAAGTGCTTTAAGATGATGTATGTTGTGATTCGGGGCTATACAATTAAAATTGAGGACTATAGACCAGGTTTTCATTAAACACATCTCTTTACTTTGCTCAGCATTCCCTGAAAAATCTCCCTGTCCCTGCTGCTGAGAAACATCCCACAGCAGCATTCTTCTCCGATGGACTGGTATTGACTGGTTGATAATTATCGGTGCCTGGTTTTCTATGATGCTCGCGGTTCAGGCTAAACTGTTCAATTTTGGTTTCTCAGAGTCTGACTGGTTTTTGTGCAGACACCAGCTCACCTCAAGAGGCAGGACCACGGTAACAACATTTTAATGCTGTTCTTTTATCTCATATCTCATAAAACGGAACAACAGCTACACAGGAAACTTGATCTCACCACTAAGGCTTTTTCTAAAGATCAGCCTCTGAGAAGTTAGCTGCAAACTAAACTACCGAATGCTAAATGCTGTGTTATAGATGTGTCCAGTTCAAACCACACGGAGATTGTAGATATGTGCTTCGGGGAGGTCTTCTCTCATTTGTCTTGAGAGAGGCGGATGTGGTGAGGTGTTGAAAGAGGAAGTACAGTCTGCTCTGCTTCATATGAAGAATGAAGGCAGCAGGACCACTGAAGGTAGTACGCCAACATTTCACACATCATAATGTTTGATTAATGTCTGTGCCTTTAAAATAGATTCACAATGTATTTAATATGTATGTGTGTTTGACCTGCAAATGATGTTCCTGATGGAGACACTAACATTTCTGTCAGGCCTATAAAAGCATCCACCCATCTGTCATCTATACTGTTTGACCTTCAAGGGTCACAGTGAGACTGGAGCTGAAATTGGACGAGAGGTGGGCTACACCCAGGACAGTTTGCCTTTAAACCCACGTGAAACGACTGCAGTTTGGGGACATGTCTGTGTCCCATCACAGACAAACAACTCACCACTTTCCCTCACATTAACCATACTGTTGTTGCCATTCACAGATATTATAGATTTGACATTTAAAAAATACTGTCAGTGAACAGAATAATTTTCACAGACTCGTTCAAGTGACAAGACGTCTTGTCTGCTGATTGAGTCATCAGGAGACGTATGGCAGCAGTCGATCAGAGACATAGTGTACATGTATTGTAACATCAGACACCATTAGCTTTACAGCAGAGCGGCAAAGATAAACTAAAAACTAAAGACACGTGGGAGTGGATCAAACTTTCTGACCCTGTTGCATAACATAAATGCAGAGAATTAGGACGGCAATCAAGAATCAAGACTTTTACCACTAGTTTCCTTTAAGCCAGCGACCATTTCTGCTGATGTAGTCTCTCCTTTCTTATTTCTAATGTTTTAATGTTCATTGTTATTTTTACTTTCTTATTTTTTTTTTAGCTGATAAATGCAGAAGTACCTACACTGAAGATATGTAGTATTTTTTTTAAGTGTTTCCTCCGTCACTTTCGAAACAAAGCCCTGGGACTGAAATGGTGTTACAATTGTATGTGAAGGTGAACATCTAACATTTGACATTTATCAGTCTTTGTACGACTCAATTTAATCCCAACCAAAAGCTTAACCGTACGAGACCTTTTTGAATTCCCTGCCTGTAGATAAAGCTGTATATAATTACTTTAAAGCTGTTTTAATGTTTCTGTACCACATTAATGATTTGAGGACTGGCAAGTAGGCGTTTGTCTTGTATATAAAACCTAAACTGTGTTTCAGTTTCAGTCGACCACTTCCTGTTCACTCGGTTTTATTAACAGTAAACAGCAACTACCTCAACCATGACAGAGAAGAGGAGAGTACACTCATTGACCAGCAGTGTTTTCAGTGATAAACTCTCAATAACCGCCTCACTAAATGAATAACACATCACTCCACTTCTGTGCTGGTTGATAGTTATTGAGCAGTGATGACAGTGGGTGCATGTAGGACAGTCGGTCATGTGTGTCTTTTGTGTGTCTTGTAGGTATGTTTGGAAACTCCAGTGTGTCGGGTGCAGTCCTGACTGGTGCGTCAGTGGTGTCACTGAGTCTCCTGTCTTTTCTGTGTCTGTGCTGTAAAAGGAAGACCAGTAAGTACAGCCGATAGATGAAAACAGCAGCCTCACTCACACATTGAACTTGTGCGTTGTTTTTTTGTTTTTCATCTTAAAAGAGATCCAGCTCATGCTCAGGCTCGCTGTTTTAATTTGAGTTATTATTTGAAAAGGTTTACTTCCTCTGATGTTCAGTAAACACATTATTTCCTCATGTTGCTGCTGCTCCTCCTTTCAGCCTCTGTCCAAGTGATCCTTGGTGGAAGGAAACCTGGGTCAGGAAGAACTCATCAGATTTATGTGCAGATCTGGATCAGGCGGCAGATCCGATTTTTTTTAACTTTGTGAGATAGGGTTTCGACATTTGTATCATTTCCTGGCGAGTAATTTATGGATCTTGATTAAAAAACAGACACATTTAGGGATCTTACATCTACAAGTGAGTGTGATTTGGTGCAGTTTGATTTGAATTCAAGGAGACTTATCAGCCTTGGAGGTCTGTGCTCTTCTGAATATCATTCTAGTTCACTGTCTGCTTCCATTGCACAGAACATATTCAGTTTTTTAGAAACACACGAGCCTGAGTTCTTGTATGCAACTTAGTTTAAAGTGTTGAATACTGAGTTTTCACTGTGTTTTATTTGTTGCAGAGATCATACAGGAGGAGCATCACACATATGACCTGCAGACATTGTAAGAACCTAATATTCTGTCCACTTTCCTACAGCCACGTTACAGATTACTGTCATTTTTACAAATTTCTGTTGTTCAAGATTATATTAAACACATCAGTTTAATTGTTGTGATATAATTTAGTCAAAGATAAACTGTTCAAATAATTATCAAAACCTTCTATTTTGAAGCTATCACAGTGTAAAATTGATCCCTTTACGACATTACAGTACATTTTTCTATTACTGTATAAAAAGTTGACGTTAAAATACTCTTGTCTCAACAGCCAACGTGGGGGAAGTATTTTTGCGGTGATGCAGTCAAGACCAGGTAAAGTACAGTTCCAGCTTCAGACACCGTATCTGCTGATGACAAGTTATCAAAGATATTTCCCGCAGGGATTCCTATTTATTATTCACTTTTAATTTGCATATTTAACCAACTCTGATATATTTTCCCCCAGTCACCAGAACCAATCAGATAACTTCAACCACAGTGTATGTATATAACAATATATAAACTAATCTCATCTCTGTGTATTGCAGTTTGTATTTGTTTTTATGAACACAAGTTAAAAATAAACTAAACTCAAAGATTGGATGTTATAGTCTATGCAGAAAACCACTAATTCATGTATTTTTTCAGTGAAATTCAAGAGGAACTATCATTTAGTAAGCTTATCTTTTATTTTCGCAAGATTTAGCAGCCCTCATTTTACATAAACCTGCAGTGAGCTGAATTATCTGAAGATTTAATCCTTCACCCTGTTTTACAGACGAAGCTGATGAACAGTCAGATTATGAAAATGTCAAACAAGGTAACTTTCCATACACAACACGCACATAAAACACGGAATTACATTCATTTTCAAGTATTTGTGTTTTTGTTATTGTCTGACTGCATCATTGCTGTTCTGTATTAGTCTGCACTGCTGCACCTCACACAAGGAAACTGGAACATACATACGTGTAAGTACATCAGCTCTGCTCATTCCCTTATTCCAACAGTACTAAATCGAAACATACTTTATTTCAGCATCACGTTTTTTGAATATAGATTTTCCTAAAGATTTAATGGAATTTTTGTCTAAGAATTAAATAAAATTAAATAAT